CACACACACACACACACACACACACACACACACACACACACACACACGTTTATGAGAGGTGTTAAATTCATCATTTTACTGACTCCAACATGCCAGGCTAGGGAACAAGGTAAAGGAAATGACCATGAAGAGGCACAGTGTAGCATGAAGAATGAGAGGGCCCATTACTGACAGCTTCCACTTTACCTTTTTTTCAGTTCAATACAGAGGCATAGACCAATAGACACAATGATATGGACTAAGGCCCATCCCACATTATAAGTCACACACCCAATGCTTTATGCAGGCCCTAACAAATGGTAATGTACTTTGGCCATTAGCAACATGAGCAGGATGCAAACCATTGACCCCAGAGGTGAGAGGTTGTACACCCAATTATAAATTTCCACTCTCTGTAAGTGTTAGGATGCCCAAAGCAATATATTTAGTTCACATAAAAATACACTGTATAAACTATATTTGATAAAAGAGATGACTTTTCCTTCTCAACTTAAATCAAAGAATGCTTACTTAAGTATTTTTTAAATTGAATCTGTCTTTAATGCTGTCATATAATCTTGGTTAACAGTGCTCATCCTGCCTATTCTAACAAAGAAGAAATTAGTACTTAAGTTGGAGAGATGATGTCTTTACATATAAACAAAACAAACACTAGAAAATTGAAAACAGGTACCTGGTACATCTGTAAAAGTTTCTCCAAGGACAGAGACATGGAAATTGAGTCCTAAGTCTTTCAGATGCAGCAATACCTTAAAAAAACTCTCTGGATCTTTGTCATGCTCCCTGTAAATAAACAGACAATATTCTTAGCATTACCTTGGGTTACAGGGTAAAAAAATGAGTACTCTGTTCACATGGTGCCAGTTCCCATCAGGGTCTTTGGCTGCTGCAGCAAGCCTCTGGCAATGAGGCTTTTCTTACCCTGAGCTGTAACACCAATGTGTGAGTCACCTCAATGCAGCCATGCTCAAAGTATCAAACACAGTTCCACTGATATGTTAAAGATCTTACTGTATTTTTAGGTTAGACTAAGGAAAGTATACAGTATTTTTTTCCTTCCAAATAGTTAATTTTCACCTTAGCACAGATTTATTTATTTTTTTTAATAATAAAAAAACCCCTAATCTTCAAAGGTTTATTCTTTCCTCATCATCATGAGAATGTAGAGAACATGCTTTTCCTTTCCACAGGAATGAATGTCTTTCTCCCATGGGCACCCAGCTAGCTGCCTTATGCTGACGAGGAGCACACAATTTAAGGAGACTATAGTCCTTTCTACTAATCTCTCATTTTCAATAACCCCGTGGAGAATTATAATGCAATAAGAGGGATGGGTAGGTCTTAGTCTATGTATAGTAAGTATTGACTTAGAGAATCCAGGTTAGTCAACATGTAAAAGAATCAGAAGAAAAGAAATATTTTCATGTAGCACAGGCATGAAAAAACATCAAACATTTTTGGCTTGTTCAGTTTGTCAGTCTTATGACAGAATGAGAGGTTAAAAGGCACTAAAAGTAAAGAAAAATATCCTTCAACAAATCATATTTAAATAGAATAAATTTTTTAACATTCTAAGGTGTGAATATTTCAGTATTTCTTGCATTTAATTATCTTATTTCAGACAGATGTTGGCCAGATGTCTTCAAAATATTTGTTTTTTATTTATAATTCAGAAATTTGATTTTTCATTACAGAAAATAGTTATATACTACTAATTAAATTTCTCATTTACTAATTATATAAAATAAATCTGTAAAATTATTAAACTGCTATATGAAATATGAAAATTACATCATTCAGGAAACCTCATGAAAATGACATCTGTACCCCTTAATGTGTTAATTCACAATTCAGTCAATATTTTCAGTATCATGAATTGAAGCAAATGCATCTTCTAATTAACATTTTAAAGCAGCATTTATAATCTTACGAAACAGTAAGATCTTATAAAATTAGAGTTCTCAAACAATTTGTTTCAAGTGCTATGTCTCTCAGTTTGATTTACTTCAAATAATAAAGGATGCAGTGGCAAAATGTTCATTGCTTTTTAAGATGATGTGTTTTCTATTCATGTGCCATGGGGAAGTGTTTGGATAGTTTTCATATATACTACCGCTGTGGGCAAGAACAAAGACTCCAAAGAGCTGGAGAGGAAAGAATATACCATATGCTGTCCTCAACCATATCAATCAAATAACTGCCACCTTCTCTGTAAGTTGCTTTTCTAGTCTGATTCTCTTGGAGATACTTAGATGGAAAGGATAGAAACAATGTAACATAATATAGCTTAAAGAGAGAGCAACACTGTAGGGAAATCTAGGAGCTCAGCTATCTAAATTCTTCATCTGAAGTTCCAGAAAAGTGGCTATGGACCCTGGGTATATCATGTATTCTAAATAGTGTGTGTTTGTGTGTATGGTGGGGAAGGGGATAAAGTGCATGGTAACATAAAAGATGCAGCTAGTAAGTGGGATAAAACTTAACTGGGTAAAGAGTGTAGTTCTTAAAAGATTCTAGTGTTTTTAAAGCAGTAGGATTTATGAATGTTTTTTCATTGTTTCGATACAAAGTAAATGCATTACAACATAGTTAGCTATTTCTTCTAGGTAGACAAAAACTTTAATATTCAATAGTTATTTTATATAAAAACACAAAAAGTTTGGTATGAATCCCCTTTTACATTGTTTAAATCGCAATATACAGCTGAATATAAAGTGAAAGTTTACTTGTCCAAAGTTATACTTCATAAACACAGAATTTTTTTACTCAAGTTCGTATAAAATGTCTTATAACATGAGGGAAACTCTCTACTTGATTTTTGAAACAACCTGTTAGCTTTGAACTGACAAGAGTTTTGGATGCTTTTAGCACTGCTTCACTTGATGGGACCAGTAAAAGCAGACTTATAGGAATGAAACACTGAGATGGAATTATTTTGGAAAGTATGCCCTAATAATTCTAAATGCTGAGTGCTTTTGAAAACAGATACCAAAAAACCACCACCACCATATGCTTGTGTGTTTACACACACACACACACACACACACACACACACACACACACACACACA